GCTGTATAAATGCCTTTCTGAACTCGCATGTAAATATCCTAACGCTTTAGTTACCCTTTTTGGTGATTTCAATTACCCAAATATTGACTGGTCTACTATTTGTTCTAGCTGTGCATTTTCTCAAGAGTTTATTGACCTTTGTTTAGATTTTAACCTATCTAATGTTATCACTCAACCCACTAGAATTACCAATCGCTGCAGCAACTTACTCGACCTATGTTTAAGCAATGACCTTTCACTCTTCAGCGACGTCACATACTTACCCAGCATTAGCGACCATCTCGTCATTGAGCTAACATTCTCCATCACTACTCCTAAGAAATCACGTTATTGCAAATTCATTCACGATTATGCGAGAGCCGACTACGCATCTATCAACACCAACCTCGAAGAATTTTATCACATATTCTCAGTCAACTTCGCAGAAAGGACGGTCAATGAAAACTGGATTCTTTTCAAAGATAGACTAACATCCCTAATCAAACGTTTCGTTCCACTCACTCGAATTATATCCGATAACACTAACCCTTGGTACGATAAAACAGTTAATTGTCACTCCAACAGGAAAAAAAGAGCTTATACGAGGGCAAAGGCTCATAACACTAACGCATCTTGGAACGCCTATCACGAATGCGCTAGGGCCTACAAATCCGCGATTCATGATGCCAAATCCAAATTTTATACTCATGACCTCCCCAACATTTTAACCAATAAACCTAAAAAGTTTTGGAAAGTAATTAACCCAGCACTCTCTCTTCCATTACAATTCGTTGACGAGTACGGCCTTCCACTTTCTGACGAACATAGTGCTCTTGAAACTAACAACTTTTTTAGCTCTATCTTTACCAATGAAGACTTGTCAAGTATGCCCAACTTGTGCCAACCCCTTCATCCTCCTATGAATCCTATCATGATCGACCGCTCTGGTGTACTGAAGGCCATTGATCAGCTGAAGGTGTCTTCTAGCTCTGGCGACGACCAAATAAACTCGAAAATATTAATAAATACTAAACACGTCTCTTCAACTTTCCTCTGCGACATTTTCTCGCAGTCTCTTCAACTTTCTGAAATTCCATGCGATTGGAAAATCGCTAACGTCATCCCCGTTTACAAAGCAGGTGATCGCCAACTAATCAACAACTATCGCCCGATCTCGCTCACCAGTGTGTCGTCTAAACTCTTAGAGCATATACTCTATTCTAACATAATAAACTTTCTAGACTCCCACAGCCTTCTTTTCGAGCATCAGCACGGCTTTCGCAAGTCATACTCATGCGAAACGCAACTAACAGCTTTTCTTACTGACGTTTACTCAAACTTTGATTCTAATAAGCAAACTGACGCCATATTTATTGATTTCTCCAAGGCATTTGACAGGGTCCCTCATCAACGTCTCTTACTGAAACTTAGAAATATTAATATCCATCCCTCAGTCGTCAAATGGATCTACGAATTCCTCACAAATCGCACCCAGTACTCATCTATTAACAACACCAAATCTACCACCTGCACTGTAACCTCCGGCGTCCCCCAGGGAACCGTTCTTGGCCCCCTTCTATTTTTAATATACATTAATGATCTCTACCTCAACATCTCCTCTTCAATACGTCTCTTCGCCGACGACTGTGTAATTTATAGACCTATTAATTCAAACCACGATAATCAAATTTTGCAGAATGACCTCGCACTTATAACTCAGTGGTGCCACAAATGGCAAATGACTTTAAACTTTAATAAATGTAAATCTCTATCATTCACCCGCAGTTCACATGTTTCATCCTTTTCTTATCACCTTTCCACTATCCCAGTATCTACCTGTTCCTCATATAAATACCTAGGCGTTCACCTGACCTCTGATCTGTCATGGACTACTCACATAAATGCTGTCACTGCCGATGCTAACCGTACTCTCGGATTTCTTCGCCGTAACCTCAGACTAGCTACACCTTCAGTAAAACTACTAGCTTATACGACCTTGGTCAGATCTAAACTTGAATTTGCTTCATCCATATGGTCACCATGGCAATCATATCTAACTAACAACCTTGAATCCGTTCAAAACAGAGGTCTTCGTTTTATTTACTCTGACTACTCCCCATACACTAGCATATCAGGATTACGCAAATCAGCTAACCTTGACTTACTTTCTTTACGTCGAAGGGTGTCACGTCTCACTCTTCTTCACAAAATCTTTTACCACAACAACCATCTAAAAGATTCTCTACTATCACCTCCCTACCGTATTTTCCCTCGTTTTGACCACTCATGTAAACTGCGCTCAATTACTTCGTCATCTGTCTCCTATAAAATATCGACTTTACCATCTGCTATTGACGATTGGAACTCATTACCTGACCTCATTGTAAACATGACTGACACTAACAAGTTTGCTGCAGCCGTTAACCTCTTTCTTTCTGAAATACAAGTATAGGTTACAGCGTGTTTTGTATTAACTATTTTTGTTTATATTTTTATTGTGTTCACTCCCTTGTATAATGCCCCCTGGGGCCCTCAAGGAAAATAAATGATGAAATGATGATGATGATTGGTACCAGTGGCCATCACCTAGTTGTTACGCTTGTTCTGTTTCCGCTTCAGATTTTCAGTATCGACGTCGATCATCGCCGCTACCTTCTACACTTTTGCAGCACGAGCGACGTTGCAACTGAAAAAAGCTAGAAGAATCTCATCATGGTATTGGCGTCTATTCTGCGGCGTTCATGCAAATGAAACGGCGCACGTCAAATTATTTACGCAATGTTTAGCGGCGTAACGAACCTTGATAATTTCGCTCAGGCGATTAAAGTGGTAAGACATTGCAATGAGGACGTAGAATCGACAATTCCAACGCGAAAAAGAGTATGCAGACTCACACACAGACGCCGACAACGTGACATTCCAATGGTTTGTTGAGGCGGGACGCGGTGCTTCTTCCCCGCACTCCATTGCACATCCGTTCGAACTGTCGTCTGCTCTTTAAAACTTTTCTACTTTTTGTCGTCAGCTCGTTCAAACGACTGCGGCCCGTAAACCAAACGTTGACCCGGTGATTGCGATAAAAAGTAAGTGCAGGCCTCAAAACACTTTTGAAAGTTGGTTGGGGTAAGTAGGCTAAGTGTAAACAGTAGATACAAGAAGATGTTGATCATTGTTACCAGTGGCCGTCACCGACTTGTAATGCGCGATTCTACTTGCGGTTTTCAGTATCGACGTCCACCATCTCAGTTACGGTCCACGCTTTTGCAGCCCGAGCGACGTCGCGACCGAAAATAGCGAGCAGAATCTCATCGTGGGAGTCAGGCTTTAGCGCCCATTCTGCGGCGTCTACGTGAAATGAATCGCCGCACGTCACATTATTCACTCAAATTTTTGCGGTGTAACGAGCCTCGTTAATTTTCCTGAAGCCGCTCAAGTAGTCAGATATTGTTAGGAAGACGTAGAATCAACAATTCCAACGCAAACAAGAGCACGGGGACTCACACCGATGCCGACAACATCGCATTTCAATGGTTTGTTTATGGGCGACGCTTCTTGCCCACCGTCCACCCCGCATGCGCCGCGCCCGTGGCGTCCGCTGGGGAGGCTCCGGTTTGTTTGTAAACATGAGTTGGTGTATACTCCCCAGACCCTACTCGCTGCAATTTTGCTTTTAGTAAGGAGAGTGGCACTAAAGACAATCACTTCGCAAGAGTTCCAGAACTAATCTGAGCAATTGAAAAACGTGTTGGGAGAAGTGCACTGCCTGGCAGGGAGAATACAGGGAGGGTGATTAAGTTGTGAAATGTGAGAAACATGCAGAATTGAAGAGTCAAGCAAATTATCGTTCTTTTGGGGTCTTCCTTCGTATACCAGCGGAAATAATTAACGGACACAGCTTGCGCACAAAGGGAGCCGTTGATCGGCCTTGTTCCACTCTAAAACAACAAGATGAAAAGCATGGCTAAACACGGATGGTTATGCATTTTTTTTACACTAGAAACTTATTTTCTGTATTGGAGCATAAAGAATTTCGATGTCGTTGAGTTTTAAGCTCCTTCAATAAATCGGAATATATTTTAAAAAAATTTAAGTATTTCTAGTTTGAAAAGCCATCATCGCAGAAAATAAATACCGGATTGTTTCCTGTAGCGGTTGCTTTAAAATTGTGCAGTCTTTCTTTTTACTTGCTAAGCGTGCTGTCTGTCACAAACGACGCCACAGTAGTGTATTTTTTGCTGTTTTTTTAGCAAGTTTCTGATTATTGTCAATATTTGTGAAATGCACCTAATGTGTACATGTAATACAGTGTACACAAGAATACTCACGTTAAAACACACTGAGGTAAAATCACGCGAACACAAATAGAAAAAAGTATGGGACGGGATAGAACAAAGCAAGAGAGTGATGTGGAGTTTAGCATGTCAATCTGTTCCGTCCTCTCTTAATTCTCCCGTATTTTTTTTTTCTATTTGTGTTTGCGCAATTTTACCTCAGAATGGTCAGTCAATGCCATGCTACGGGCCCAGCTATCAACCTTATTACAGCTCACGGTAATACATGGAAGTAATTGGATGCACTGAGTGATAAAATCACCGTTCGCTTTCACTTGATGCGCAAGACACACTGCCGAGGCCCAGTTTTTCATTGCGCCCTAAAGCATAGCCTAAGCTGCAGTTTCTGTGGAAGACGAGATATCTTGCACAGCGAACCAAATGTGGCTTACGTTAAAACTCCCAAAAAAAAAGCAACTTATTACCGCTACAAAAACGTCTATGGAAGTACGTTATCTAACGCATAGCGCACTGAGAGAGGGTTTATCGAAGTTTCTCTTTACCAACACGCGGGTGCTGTTTTAGAAGAGCCAATGGGCGACTCACGGAACACGATAAGGACAGTGCCGCTATATCCGGCGGATGTTTGAGTCATCCTGTCGCGCCTTTCGTGTTGCCAGGCGTACTCTTTTGTCGCCAGAGAGTTTTAATGCTCGCTGGCCTAGGGGTAAAGAGACTCGGATTGACATAGCTTGTACTTCAATCATGGCAAGGTTGGAAAATTGTCAGAAGTGCGGGAAGGATTCCCTCGACGTCTGGATGGCAAACCAGTGCCTGCATTTGATTTGTAACAAATGCCTAATGCAAGAGTCCAGCATCGACGACTGCAATCACTGCAACGCTGCTACCCAAAAGTTCTGGTGCCCCGGCAGGAAGTACGGCTGCAAATTCCAGAAAACCATCTGTGAGACAAAACAGCATGTCAAGACGTGTGGGTTTGTCCCGGTCTCCTGCCCCAACGAATGCGACCAAGCCCCGTCCAAGAAGTCCCTCGCGGATCACGTGAGTTTCGAATGCCGACTTCGTATTACCGAGTGCCAGTTCTGCGGCCAGGGATGCTACGCCCTCAAGCTTTCCGCCCACCTTACAGTTTGCGAAGAGGTCCTAGTGTCCTGCAACTACTGCCACGAGGATAATATCCGACGAGGATTGATGCCCGTTCACGCCAGAGACTGCAGCAAGACGCCCAAGCCGTGTCCCATGAAAAAGTATGGCTGCAGTTTCGAAGCCGACGAGGCGAAGATAAATGAACACTTGAACTTCAGAAACCACCTCTCATGTTTTGATGACATGCACGAGAGGATTCAAGAACTTGAACTGATGAACACTATTGAACGCAGCAACCAGAGAGTCCAAGGAACAAAGCTTGAAACAAACCAGCCCGCAATGATTGGGGGCGTCAGCCTGTTCGACAAGGAACTGCTATGGGTGGTGAAATTACCCGAAGTAGTTCATCCTGGAGACCTCAGCACCATTTTCAGACACCGGGAGACCAGTTGGACCTTTTTTCTCGAGATCAACTGCGCCGGCCCTGTAATGGAGTTATGCGATGGACACGAGGAGCTTATGTACAGCGTGTACATGACTCACCTGGAGCCAGGAGAGCGCAAGAAGGACGTCAGCTTCTCCATCCAAGCTGAGACCGTCCCCACCGGTGGCAAGCTCCTGGGAAAGGCCCGCCACCGCGGCATGGTGCCTTCGACGAAAAAACTCTTTATGCTCAAATTCAAGTGCGATTTCAGCTATGCCGACGAAGTTCTCGTCAAGCTGACGTCTGAGTAAAACACAAAGCAAGCGTTGACTCCCATTAGATGAGTGTTTGCCGATTCAAAATAAGGCAATATATCTCATCATTTTTTTTTAATATTCTCCATGTTTAGTTTTTAGGTTCCTGATTGTGCAAGCAGTTCACCGCAAACATTAATTTTAACGTTCTTCATACTGTAGTGTGGATTGAAGGAGCATGATTTGTTATTTTAATTTTCTAAACCCTCACTGTTATTTCGCATTTAGCTTTAAAATATCTTAATAATTCTCATGGGGAGATGTGGAGAATCTTAACACTCCGTACGAATTCTGGTTTTGTATCATTACAGTATGGTTTGTCATTGTTACTTAATGAACTGGAAGCAAATACCCTTAACATCTTTAGGAATTAAAATATTAACTAACATTGTATTACATAAAATCAACAATTTCACGTGTTCCCTACGTGTGCAGTTTCGTGCAGGAATTTAAAATTGTTTTTTCAAGCAGGAAGGGTCTATCAGTAGAATTTTGTGAGTAGTAGTGCTCGTGTTTCTGCTTTAGTTCCTGCAAGTATCTATTAGCGAAATGCGAGCAGCTGTGGTCGTGTTTGTGTTTTTATCTTAGTTTTTTTGTTTCTACAATATTGCTTTTCGCCTACGTGTGTCAGGACAGCACCTTATTAAGCTGCAAATGCAGCTTTTTGTTTTTGTTTCCTCCTTTTTGTACACACCCAGAAATGGAAATAAAAGCATTGCAATTTACAAATATAGTCGTCTTTGTTAAACGGTATGGGCGAGGATCGCTTCTTCAAGGACTTATACCCCATTCAAACGACCAGCATAAAGGAAGCGTTAGCATAAGTGCCTTCGCAATGGGCGAATGAGTTCGCGCGCTTGAGTTGCAATCACTCGTCACGCGCGGATGGTCGTGAATTGATTCGCAGCAGAGAACGAAGGTCCCTTAATGATCGTGTGAATGAAGTATGAGACTGGCTTTAACTTTCGTCCATATTTTTCTATCATGTTCGCATATTATACGTAAAGCGGGGCTGTGTACAGTCTAAATGATGGACACATACACCATGCTAGAAATAATGCTATCAAATTTGTCATCTTTAGTGGGTAGCTTTCGTGCGCTCGAAGTTGGCTCAAATTTCTTCTCTGGCGAACGCCAGCAGACGTCGCGATAGCGCATCAATTTTATAAAAAGTAGATATTTTTTTTTTAATAATCTAAACCCTGAGACAGGGAGAATAATATAACAAACAGGACGACACATTGAGAATTTGTGTTGTCTTGCTCGTAATTTTATTTCTCCTTGTCTCAGGAGAATTTTTGTTATGATATTTACGAACCCCCTAGCCTGCATACTTTCGCTCTTTTCGATTTTTTTTTGTGTGATTATACTTAATTGTTTACTACGCGAGCAAGGTGTTGGAGCCAAGGGGATGGCCTCGTGTTGTTGTTGAACAATCTCTGCTAGGGCCAGCTTGAACCGAGGCAGGAGTTCCAACGTCTCGATTTGAAAAGCATTATTTTCTTTAGAAAGAATTCGGTGACGGAAGTGTCGCGCCAAGTCACTTGTGGCTGGCACCGTCAATATCCGGACAGATGTTTATACTCAGTTTTACCTTATGTTTTACCACAGTGAAGGCTAGAAGCGCGAGCTCAGCGTTGGCAGCTGCCCTTAATGCACGAGAGCTTGTACCGCCGAGATGTGCCCCAGAGCAAGGAGCTCGCGCTTCTGGCCTTTCCTGCGGTACGTCATGAGGTGAAATAGAGTATTGGGGAGGAGGACAGACCGTGACGCCCCAAGCGGTTAACCTAACAACTACACGGATGGGGACAACAACTACAATGCGGAGGGTTCGGCCGACATAACCGAACGCGGCGTCAGCGTTCGGCTAGAGTTCGTGTTCTCCGGCGAGGGGGAGGAAGGGCTCTTTTGTTTCCCCACTACGGCCTGCATGAACAATGCAGCATGCACGATCCCAGCTCAGCACAAAAGCCGAAGTAGGTCAAGCTCGCATTCTCTGAGGATAGATCCGGCACTTAACGTCGCTTCGTCGATTGTTACTATTTTTTACATTAAACTGTGCCCCGCGCTCTATTGTAGAAGATGACATGACCATGCCCATAAGGCCTGTCGGCATCTGCACAGGCCTTGTGTTGAGTAAACACCGAGCGTGGGGAAAACAAACGGGTCAAAGCGCACACACATCTCCTGCCCAATAGGGGGCGTCTGGAGTCGAGCCCTAATAATCCGTTGACTTGGTTCTGTTGATCCTGATGGGAAGCGGCCCACTCGTCACAATCCGGCCTTCTGGTTCTAGGTGATTTTGTCATACAGACTCGCCGAGGTGGTCCGCTCATCAGCGGGACAGCCGTCGAAAGATTAGGGAGTTTTCATAAGCCGCTTTCCTCCCTCCGTTAAACTACCCGCAACGAGAACAGGGAGTTTTCGTGGACCGCGTTTTCCTCTCCGCTAAGCCCTCCGCAACGAAGAAGCTCTACTGCGCCTGCGCGCCGGTGGCCTTGACCGTAGAGTTCCGGGTATCGCAGCGGGTTGCGGAAAGCGTGGCGGGACGGCGAGAACGATCTACGAAAACTCCCTAATCGTGCTTCGATAGGAACGCAATCGGCCTTGCCTTTTTACAAAAGAACTGACCCCCTTTTTCTCGGTGCTTTTGTGTAAAAATGAAAATCAAACGAAAAGGAACTTGGAAACCGCATCTTTGATACGAGAGAGAAAGTTCCCATAAAGAGTCCCCCCGCCCCCCCCCCCCCCCCCCTTCTTAATCTCCTATCCCCTCTCCCCGTCATACAGCATTTTGTAGTGGGCGCCCTCCCCCCTCTCCCCCGAAACAAAATCCTGGCTACGTTCCTGCGTACTGCACTGGCTAAATTGCTCATCTACAGTGGGTAACAATGTTGCCATACTCTGGCAGTCTGAACTTCCACTATGTAGACAACTACAGACTAATTACTTTTTGTTGTTGTATGTGGTCGTGTAGTCTACTGCGTGACGCAAGTTGAAGACCCCAGGCTGGCAGACGTACTCCAATGGCAAAATGAACACTTGCTTTTTTACAGTGGGTAACAGTTTCACCATGTTCTGGCAAACTAAACTCCTGCTTTCTTAACAACTAATTACTTTTTTTTTTGTCCTTGTCATTTGTGCGCTTTTATGTTCAACGTTTCAAGAACGTCGTCGAAGCAATGACCAGTCTCCATATCGCATGAAACAGGAAAAAAGACTTGTCTCGGCCTCCTCGCTCATTTTTCGTTATCGGCAGAACCGAGAACCTGCCGGCTTTTGGACCTATGTTTTTTTTATAAAAGAAACTATTATCTTAGGGTAGAACGAAAACACAGGTAAACAGACAACTACAAAATAAAAATTGTCTGCATGTTTGGTCATTCTGCCGGACGCGTTTAAATTTTGCGGTAGCTATATTTTATTTATTTATAAATACATGGCGCATTACACGAGTGCGGCATACGTAAGAACAAACATAAGCCACAAAGTTTGACCGCACTGGCTCACATCATACCACAGAGAAAAACAACAAAGTTAGAGAATGGTGTTATTATAGCGGTTGCACAGACTCAACAACTAAAATTTAATACATTTCCAGTAGATATTTTACAAAGGATCCTATTTTACCGCAAATTGCAACATTTTCAAGAAGCCTCCCTAGCAGCACACTTAGTTATGTGAATGTCCTTAGGTTGTCCTCAGAGTGTTCTAACGTTCTGGAGATGTTTTGTAGACACTTGTGGTCACGTACGCCCGCACCGACACAGCGGCTCCCCACAGAACTTTTCTTCGCTCGACCGAGCGGCCCCCGAGAGCTCGATTACCTTACCCGGCTCAAGTGCTACGTCGTCGGCGGATGTCGCCGCACGCGCACATAACTTCCGCCCAACGTCCATCGCGCAACATTGGATAATATCCTGGCAATCACGCCATAGCATAGCGAATACTGCAGTCTCGTCTGGCTGACGTATTGCCTCGCGGTTGCACCACTTCACGCAACCGCGAGGTTTGCAAAACGACCTGTATAAAAGGCGGAAACGCAGAGCTCGGAAGTAGTTAAGGGGGGAAGTGGCCGCCGAGTGGGCTAACGCGTCTCAGCTCGGAGCGTGGAGCGAGAGCTTGCGTTGGGAACCTCCTGGGTTCGATCCCCGCCGCCCCCGCCCGTTTCGATCTGGATGAGTTTCGTACCGGCACGCGTTCGTGTGATCACTACTGCGTGATGCACGTTAAGAATCCCAGGTTAGCGGTTGTACCGCACTGGCTAAGTTTCTCATCTACAGCTAAGAGACCGATTACCCGTTGAGGCGCATCTCCATCAAGGCTGTATAAACATAAAGAGCAAAACCAAAAGAGACTGGGGGCACCGAGGCAACACGGGACCAGCGGCCCGGACAGACGCTGACATTGCTCTTTCATCATTATTATAAATTTGGACAAGTAATAATGTAGTTAACTAAATAAAAGGTTAGGGTTCTCACCAACCGTTCCAGACCAGTTTAACTTCCGAGTCAAGTCTATAGAACAACCCGAGACACTACACACTCATAGAACATACCCAGAACGTTAGGACATCCTAAGGACATTCACAAAACTAATTGTGCTACTAGGGTACTTAGGTATTATTATTAACTCGCGAAATTTGAAAAGCCCGATTGTGCTCACCCCTTAGAGTTCTCGTAGTACGTGGTTGTAGGAAACGAGAAGTGTCCACATTGAGGGAGTTCCGTGAAAGCATGAACAGAAACTTTCGCCTGGCCAATTCGCGATGCATATAAAGAGGGAGCTTGAGCTCTACAAGCCTACATGTGACCGAGTCCATTCGACTATAGCGGGATACGATAAAACGAGCGATGTGCCTCTGACATTTTTGCAATTCATCCTTTTGGCTTGTGTACGGGTTCCGTGCCGTGCAAGTATGTTCCAGGGTTGGTCCTAAAAGAGTTGAGCAAGGTGTTTGCTTCACCTCACTCGTGGCGTGCTTTGAGAGGGTGCGT